ACATTCCCACCAACAGTGTAGGAGGGTGCCCATTTCTCCACATCCTTGCCAGCATCTAGAGTCTCTTGATTTGTTCATTTGAGCCACTCTGACCGGCATGAGGTAGTATCTCACTATGGTTTTATTCTGTATTTCCCTGATGAGGAGGGATGCTGAGCATCGTTTCATGTGTCTGCTGGCCATCTGAATGTCCTCTTTGGAGAAGTGTCTGTTCATTTCTTCTGCCCATTTCTTCACTGGATTGTTTGTTTTTCGGGTGTGGAGTTTGGTGAGTTCCTTATAGATTTTGGATTCTAGCCCTTTATCTAATATGTCATCTGCAACTATCTTTTCCCATTCCGTCGGTTGCCTATTAGTTTTATGGATTGTTTCCTTTGCCGTGCAGAAGCTTTTAACCTTGATGAGGTCCCAAGAGTTCATTTTTGCTCTTGATTCCCTTGCCTTTGGTGATGTGTCAAGTAAGAAATTGTTGCCGTTGAGGTCAAGGAGGTTGTTTCCTACTTTTCTCCTTGATGGTTTCCTGTCTCACATTCAGGCCCTTTATCCATTCTGAGTTTATTTTTGTGTATGGTGTGAGACAATGATCTAGTTTCATCCTTCTGCATGTTGCCGTCCAGTTCTCCCAGCACCATCTGTTAAAGAGGCTGTCTTTTTTTAGCTTATTTTTGGCTTAGTTTACCATATTGTCTAACATTAGTTCCAATTAACAAAAAAAAATGTCCCTTGCATGTTTTTTTTTCTGGTAATGATTTACCTGCTTCTGCAGAAATCCTAAATTCTTTGGCAATTCTAGCTCTACTAGTAAAATGAAACACAGATTGATTCTCCATACAATAAGACTTAAGATAAACAACTCAGATGCTTAAATTTATTCAAAGACATGATTCACAGTCTCAGCATATAGATGGCTTATGTGTGCAGGCATCATTTCTTCTAGTGAAATCAGAACTGTATCCTATCTCAGCTAATCACAGGTGCCCTTTATGAGTCAGCATCCATGTGAAAGTGTGCATATCAATTTGATCATTGTGAATCAGATTTGGCAATTTTGGGGGAAAAAACCCATACCTGTGGCTCTAAGTATTTAGTCAGAGCTAATAACAGTATGAAAATCACTGGCATCGGGTGAAGTAGTAGATGTGTTCTTTGCCTGAGCTGTTTATTTCATTGACTACTCGTCATTTATGTATGTATCTTGGGAGTAGAGATATGCAAAATCAGCCTTGCTCCATTATCTTTGAATATTGATAAATGACGTACTATTAAGAGAAAACACAAGTGTCCAAATGAGTGTTCAGATCATTTTGTGTCGAGGCTTGTCTTCTCAGCATGCTGTGGCTCTATCCTGTGATTTCACTCGAGTGACAGTTTCAGTAATCAGTACAGGGGTAGCCACCCACTCCTTGCCTGCTCCTCTCTCACAGTGGTGGATCTAAATATCACCCTGTGACTGCTTACATGCAGATACTTAGGGGACCAGTCCTTTACAAGGCTTTGATTTCAAAGCTAGATATAAGCCTCTATAAGGGAATTTCAGGCATTCACTGTAAATTCTTGTTAGTCCCATGGTACGCCCACATTTCCTTATCTCATTACCGGTGCTGTATTATTTTCTCCCTTTTATTCAGTCAAAACCATAACAGTCGCTGTCTTTTTGGTGTTTCCTACAGGCCGTGGAGTGGGGATGTGACGAAGCCACCAAGAAGGCCTGTTACAGTAAGGGCAAATCAAAGGTAAGGAGCGTGTGTGTGCAGAAGAGTGTGACTACCTTCTGGAAGGAATATATGTGAGGCATTTGAAAAGCGAGATGCAAAATACATGTACAGTAGATTTTCAAAGCTTTAGTATTAAATCAAGATTAACCACCGTTTCCAAAAAAGATTTAGAATATTAAGATCAGATCTGATCAGGCTATGATATGAAATCACTTGGCGGTGATATCATTCAGAAAAAATATGGGCCTGAATGTTTGAAATAACATTTAATTTCCCCTCTAAGCATATCTTAGAGCTAATTCCATAAAATGACCATTTGATAAATAAAATTATTATATCAGAAATTACGAGATTTCATTATAAGTTTCACTGTAACATATCTATAACATAAACCCCTCTATCTCTCTCTTCTCTACGTGACTCGTCTCTTTCCTTATGAAAATCTGTATCCTCAAGTTTCTAAGGAAAGACTATATCTATCTTATATTTTTTCAATATTCGCTTGTTTGTTTGCTTAGATAGAGAGCACAAGCAGGGGACGGGCAGAGAGAGAGAATCCCAAGCACTGTCAGTGCAGAGCCTGGTGCAGGGTTCGAACTCATGAACTGGGAGCTCATGACCTAAGCCAATATCAAGAGTCCAATGCTTAACTGACTGAGCCATCCAGCGCCCCTGGAAAGAGCAGTGCACAGCCAAGGTTGGAAATGCGTCCCTTGATCGACTTTCCATGGTATAGACCTGATTCCACACAGCTGGCCACCTCAATGAAAGCAGCATTCCTGCATGCAAGGAGATCTGTTCTGAGAAAGACGTGCTGGATCATCTCGAGGAAATTCTCCTGCAACTGGGACATGGGCTCATTATGTCTCCTTATGACAGTGACGGTCTTACTTTATTGGAGCCTGGTCCTTTCCAATGTGAATCACTCTGTGTTAGAGGGAAAAACAGATACACAGAGAACAGCAAGAAGGGTTCCCTGTGTCCATGTGATCCCAGAGCCCAGAGCTTGGGGAAACTATGGCAAATAGAGCGAGCACTGGTAAAAGATCCTCACACCATCTGTAAAAGATGGTTATGTACTTTATTTTACCCATTTTCATTGCCTCTTTCTCTGTCTTTCAAGTTAACAGTCTTGAGAGTCAGCTATGAAGGCCGGTCTCAGCGAATGCAGTCATTGGGTTTTTCCAAAACTTGAATAACTGGGAAGAAGGAAGAGAGGAAGGAAGACAGTGCAATCTTAGGCAGTGAGACACTTGGAGACAAAGAAAGAAAAAAAAGGCAGAAATTGATGAAGGCGGTTTTCTGAAAGATCTTTACCCTCAGAAGATGCTTCTGAGATAAATCATCAGTGACACAAGAAGATATAAAGATATAGCACCAGGTTGCAAAACATGGGAGTACTGTCTCTTAAAATACTCCACAAAATAAATGATCAGTAGCTAATGAATTCTTACTGAGCTTGGATAAATTATCTGTAAAACTTGGAAAGTGAAGCATCGCTGCTTGCTCACCCAAGCACAGGGAGCACCTCAAATAAGACCGGCTTCCTGAGCTGTGGGGAGGCAGACTTGCCTGGGACAGTGGGGAGCGAGACTTTCCAGCACAAAGCGTTGGCCTATCTTTCCATGTTTCTAATGCCCACATAGGCCCCTTTGCCTGGTGACCTAGGTGTCTTCCATGGTCTCTGGCTATGCTTCCTTTGCCCTCTTGCTTTCTCTTTCCTTCTCCCTCCTTTTCCTTCCTGTCTTTATCTTTTTTTTTCCTGAGACTTGGCTCTTCCTTCTCCTCTTCCTTCTTTCTGGGTCTGTGGACATACTGATAAGCACAGTCCAGCTTTGGGGAAACCCAACCACCAGCCTCAGTGCCCATCTTTGAACATGTGTGTAAGCCGGACCTGTGAGGCAACCATGGCTTCCTACCATTTCAGAGGACCCCCATCTTAGGCATCCCCCTGACACCCTCAGTTATTTCCCAGGACTTGTGTCTATCTCTGCAGAAATCCCTGCCCTGCTGACCCCCATCTTGGACCAGCCACCAGTAGCCATGTTTGCCCCCCATGGCCCTGAGCTGCTTTCTTGTTGAGCCCAGGACTTGACTACCTGAGGCCCACACCTGGGGTGGGGTGAACATTCAGGGCTTCTTGCCCTCCCCACTCTTGATGTTTCAGGGGCAGACGACTTTTAGTTGTGAGGTCTGCCCTGTTCCTTGTGAATTTGTGGCAGTGTCCTGGATACCCACCAGGTGCTAGTAATTCCTCTGACACTGTCGTGACAATCAAAAATAACCAAACATGCCTTCAGACATTGCCAGGTCCTGACATGGTGGAGAATCCCTACCATATTTCCCCAAATGGTGAATATATTGGCAACTTTTAAAGGGTCCATTTCAAGTGGTTCTCCTGTTTCACCTAGATCACATTCATTTATTTCAGACTTTTTCAAAAGTAGCAATTTCCAGGGGTGCCTGCGTGGCTCACTTGGTTAAGCATCTGACTTCCTCTCAGGTCATGATGGTTTGAGCCCTGTGTTGGGCTCTGTGCTGACAGCTCAGAGCCTGGAACCTAATTAGGGTTCTGTGTCTCCCTCCCTCTCTGCCCCTCCCTTGCTCATACTCTGACTGTTTCTGTCTCAAAACTAAATAAACATTAAAAAATAATTTTAAAGATATCAATGTCCTTCCCCTCTCTGGCCATCAGTCTCCTTATGTTCCTTATGCATTTAAGGAAAACATCTGATTATTAATGTAGCCAACATTTTTCCTGCTTATAGTCCATGAGTCAATAATTTTATAAGAAAGGACGTGGTAGCCTTTTCCTAGCAGGTCATTACTACGCGGAGTGAAAAATTGCTTCTACTGAATCAAAACTGACCCATGTTTTGCCTAAAGCTATGACCAATGGTTGTTTGGTGCTTGGAAATGAGGCAAGTGAAAATCAGAAACAAGTAGCAAAGGCCATCTTTCACTGCATTAGGTGATGGACCCTTGATTGACACGAGGGATCAATCACGACTATCCTCGGCTGAGTTTTCTGAAACACAGAAGGCAAATGATTGTCCAATGAAATCAGACCTTTAAGCTCCACGTGTCTCTGGTTTTAATGGGTTAAAAACAACGGCACTTCTCAGTAGTTATAAATTGATTCAAATGGCATTTGTAGATGGGATTTTTTAAGAAGGCTGTATTAACATAGATGAAGATGACTGTCAACTGCCAGAGCTTGAGGAGAGATTGCACATTCTTCCGAGTTGTATTAAGTATATTGATAGACCCATATGCACTTGTGAACAACGTGTGCTAAGCTGGAATGGAATTTGGTTGTGTGGCCGAACCATGTGCAGTAGAAGTTCACATTCAAAATATAATGTGATGGGTTTGTAGAGGTACCGGCCTGGGCAGCCCTGCAGGGGAGTATCCTCGGGCAGGGAGAGCAGGCAGACATCCAGCCCCTTCTTCCTCCTTCACTCACTCATTTTTCTCATTTAGTCTTGCTGGTACTTAAAAATTTTTTTTAATGTTTATTTATTTTTGAGAAAGAGAGAGAGACGGAATGTGAGCAGGGAAGGGCAGAGAGAGAGAAAGAGACAGAGAATCTGAAGCAGGCTCCAGGCTCTGAGCCTGACGTGGGGCTTGATCCCAGGAACTGTGAGATCATAACCTGAGGCAAAGTCGGATGCTTAACCGACTGAGCCACCCAGGCACCCCTCCCCTCCCTTCTTCTCATCACATAGGCATCTTATAATCTCACACCATCAGGAGAAGGGTGATGAAGCACAATAAGATATTTTGAGGGAGAGAGAGAGAGCCCACATTCACAAAACTTGTACTACAGTATATTATTATAATTGTTGTATTTTGTTATTTGTTGTTGTAACCTCTCAGTGTGCCTAACTTCCAGATTAAATTTCATCATAGCCATGTCCGTATAGGAAAACTCATAGTACCTATGGGGCTTGGTACTAACCGTGATTTCAGGCATCCACTGCGGTTGGGGGGGGGGGGGGTCATGGATGAAATGGGACTGTTGTAACTTCTACTTGGGGGAGTGGAATTCAGGCTTTTCTTAATAGCCCTGAGTTTAGAAACGAGATTTCAGCGATTTCCTATGTTTTGTTTGTGCAGTGGTGTGATGACAACTCACACAGAATTACAAAGTTTCCCTTCTCCCCGGAATGAAAGGAATAATGCAAAATGTGACATCTGGAAAATGAGAAAAATGCCAGCCATTTCGAGTGAATACATTTTTGTTCTCTGTCTCCCCTAAGAACAGTGGTCTGTCCCACACAGTGTATACAGGGCCGGGCACGCCAGGCGCGGAGGAGGGGCTGAGCCCACGGATGGTGCTGTGCCTAGAACATTCCTCAGCCGGCTACAGGGCAGGGGAGAGGAAAGGTGACCCATTTCCCTGTCTCCCCGGCATTACTGGGACCCACATGGGCACCGTTTCCAGTGTCGTCCATTCAACTGACAGTTCACAGACTCCGGTCAAGAAAATGTCACTAAATCTTTGATTTGGGTCCATTTAGAAGAGAAAGGAGGTAGTGAGGCTGCCAGTTGTTTGTGAGGTTTGAGTCCAGGTGTATTTATAAAATTTTCAGGGCGCCTGGGTGGCTCAGTCAGTCAAGCACCTGACTTCGGTTCAGGTTAGGATCTCACGATTCCTTGGGTTCAAGCCCCTCATCTGGTTCTGCCCTGACAGCATGGAGCCTTCTTGGGATTCCCTCTCCCTCCCTCTCTCCGCCCCTCCCCTGCTTGTGCTCTCTCTCTCTCTTTTTCTCTCTCAAATAAATAAACTTAAAATTTTTTTCAGCTCACTTTGAGGAAAGAGCATGACGTCACCTACAATGACTCAAACATTTCATGCGTTAAAAGGGGAAGAAAACCCTGTCTTTCTGTGTTCTCAAACTTTTAATAACACAATGTGTTATATTTTTTTCTTTCTGAAATACCTGTATAGAGACTGGCTTCGAGAATTATCGAAATGTCTTTTAAACAACTATTATTTTAAACACAAACAGGCG